CGATCGTCATCATCTTCTTTGTCTTCATCCGCACCAGGAACTTCGTCAACACGTACTTCATCGTCATCTGGATCTCCCTCGCGGATGGACTGTTCATAGTCATCATCATCATCGAGTTCTTCACCAGCTGCTACCGGAGTCGTCTTTCGTTTGGAACGCTTCTTCTTTTTCGTCTTCTTCAGAGACTTCGTTGGACCGTCGACGTACGTACCAACTCCATCATCTGATTCGGACATTTCATCACCGCTTTCACCATCAAGATAGATTGTCCTTGATGCGTGGTTGTTGCCGTTGAGACCCAACACTTTCATCACTAACTCGGCCTCGTAGTCTGACGATGGCCTGTAGTCCTTAGCTCCAAGGTAGACGTACGTATGGGATGAGATCATGAACTTCCATCTTGATCTTGCCACCCTCGGAGTTGATCATGTAGGGCTCTCTACCGCTAGGCCAAACAAAGGTGAAGCCTTGCTCCATGCATCGTTTTCCCAATGACAAAACTGATGGGGTATCTTCCAACACATGAGCCCTTGCAGGATCATTGAACGTGTCGAAATCCAAATCCACCATCGTGGTTGTTGATGTGATGCCATTTGCAGTGTGGAAGTTCACTCGATCACTCTGGTATGTGTCAATGTCCATCCTATCCACCCTCGTAGATGAGATAAGATCGTGACCACTGCCAGAGTCCATGATGAAACGTCGATCCTTGAGCTCGATTGGCATAGTGATGCACATGACGTTGTCACGACGACCATATTGTCCTGGAACATGAGGAATCACTTCCTCATAGCATATCTCAGCTCGTGAGTTGTTCTCCAAGAAATCAATGTTGTTGATCTTGAGCTTAATATCATTCTTGGGTCCCAGGATGATGTGTACTTCATCAACATCAGAAAACTCACCATAGTCGTCCATCAATATGCCAATTGCACGTGCTCTTGTCATTCCCAACTTGGATTGTAATACCCATTGTTGGTCATCCATGATCTCTTTGGTAGTTCTGCACGTCAATGACTTCTTCTGAGCTCTGGACATGTTTCTCTTTGGTTTCCTGTTGGAACACTCCACAAAATCAGGCTTCACATACATGATGGTTTCCACCTTGTCATTGAACTTGACATCCATCTTGTTCTTCTTCTCGATAGGCACTGCGTTCACGATGAAATCGTCATCGTACTCACGGACTAAAGCCGGAGTAGCTTTGGCGTCGGGCGTCTTTGTAGAAGGCGCCGCTCTCTTGCCCTTCATGCTTGGGTCATGCTTGAAGGTACATTTGTCACCTTTCTGACAATCGCCCTTTAACCAACCATAGCAATGTCGATCCTTCTTTCCACCAGGGGTTTGTGATCTTCTTGGAGTAGCCGATCTGCTGTTCTTGCCTTTGCCACCTTTGTCCTTCCTCTTGTCCCAATGATATTGGGAGTGACTGTATTGGCACTTGTCACCATGCTTGCAATTGCCCTTGTTGAAGTGGAAATGGCAAAAGGTCTTCGAGGTATCTCGTGTGGAAGGTGATCTCGATCGTTTGCCACCCTTGCCTTTCCCCTTGCCATGGCTCTTGGGATTACCGGAAGGTAGAACAGGAGCTCCAGGTTTGCCCTTGGGTGATGGAGCACTCGGTTTTCCACCTTTTCCATCTTTCGGCGTAGGAGCCGGAGCCGTCGGCTTCGGAGCTGGGGTAGAAGGCTTACCAAGATTGGTGTAGTCCGTGGCGAACTTGTCCCTGGCCGCGATATTGCGGTCTTCGCGTGCACGTGCTATGTGCCTCCTCATTATCTCCAAGAGTTCACCATATGATTTCTTCTTGTCATCGTTGTCTCTCCCCCTGAAGATCGTGAGGTCGACGTGCAAAACCTGGGAGCCATCAATCTTCCTCAGCAGATGATCACGCAGTGTATTGTCAGATGGAATGTCCTCAGCCTTCATGTTGGCGATGATCTCAATCCAAGCATGGAGAAACTTATCCATCTCTTTATCACCACGATACTGCAACTTGTAGATGTGGCTGGCATTGAACAGTACTTCATCTTTCGATGTTGTTCTGAAATGATCTAACACCATTGCCAAAATCTCCCTGCCCATCAGGAAATTTCCTTCTTTTCCCAGAACTTGACTCCTCTGTTTAATCCGAACCTTGACCTCCGATGCCGTCTCTCCAGCGGAGTCTACCATGTTCTGCAAGGCAATGGACAACTTGGAGTCGATGGACTGGAAACGGAATTCTCCTGAATCGGCAAGTTCGGCATAGTCAGGACTGGGTAATAGAGCAGGAGATAGCCATCTTCTCCACGCAGCCGTGTCTGGATCACCTGATGCAACACATACGGCCTGCACAACGTTAGAACGCCAAACATCAAGGTCTTGACATTTTGGCCATGGTTTGACAGTGACCTTCTCGCGCTCCTTCCTGGAAATCCTGGTTACCCAATCTTTGCCATCTTGACCAGCATCACTGTTTGCAACACTAGCATCTTTGCCATCCTTCCGTTCCCAAAGTCCAGGAGGATTGTCAGGAACGGGCTCAAATTCAGGGGTTTTGTTGTCTTTCACAGATTCTTGCCCTTCTTCAGCTTGTTCCAGCCAACTTTGGTACTCTTTCATCTCGTCATAGTTCTGTTGAGCTTGTTCTTCAGACCGACGAAGCTTTTCACGAAGGTCATCGATCTCACTGTTGGTCTGGTTCTTGATGGCATTGCTCATGCTAGGTGATGGTGGTGGAGGTAGAGCAGGATCATGATTCTTTGTCGTAGAGGATGCCTTGGGCGTACACATAGGCGTTGAAATCGATACTGCAAATGATGGAGTTTTGCCAGTAAGCGCAGTCGTCCTCGGAACTAGGGTCGTAGGAGGCACAGCCGATGGTGCAGCTGGTACTGTAGCTCTCGTCGATACTCTGCTCCATGATGCAGGCACTGTGCTCATCGTTAGTCTCGCATCATGAAGTGATAGTTTCAGTGAGTCATTCTTTCTGATCACGTGGTCACGTTCAGAGCATGCCGACTGATAGAGCTTCTTGTACCTGTCCGCCTCCGCTTCTTCGGCGTCGATGAGTGCCTCAGTGAGTTTCGGATTGCTTTCAACTGCTTCTTGAAGTCGACTAATCTCCATGTTGGCTTTGTGAAGTTCTTCACGCAATTCTTCATTCACCTTGGCATTGTCTTCATCGCCACCAGCATGGAATCGAGATCCAAGAAGTTCAGCAACTCGCGTTCTCAACTGATTGGTGGACTCAATCAAAGCCATGTTCTCATCCATGAGTTCGTCCTTAACGCGCTCGATGGTGATCTCCCTGTCCTTGAATGCACTGAGTTCATCATGTTTGAACTGGCGGAACTCGTTCCTCTCGTCAGTGAGTCGATTTGAAAACCATTCCCGGGTAGCACTCTCGTTCTCGTTGATTTTCATGAGGCTTCTGATCTCCACCTCGAGTTCGTTGTGCTTCCGGTTGTATTCTTCCTCTCTCTCCTGAATCATGTTCTTCATGTCACGAACCTTCAAGATATGATCACGGTTCGCATCATCCCTGATAGCAATGAGATTGTCCTTGTGTGACAAACTAGCAGTCAGTTCATCAATAGTTGATTGCATCTCTACCAATTGTTCATCACGTACTGCAACAGCTTGTTGGCCATATTCCATGATCATCTCATTGTTGTCAGCCATCACAAGTGATTGCTCAGATAGTTTCAGCTTCAGTTGTTCCATTTCTTCCTTGCTCACATTCTCCCTGTCTTGAACATACTGTGTACATGCTTCACGCAGTTGTAGCCCATCTTGACGAAAATGCATTGCCATAGCTTCAGATGTGTCATGTTGTTGACGAATGAGTTGTGATGCGTTCTCAAGTTCAGTGAGATATTTCCCCCTCATCTCCATACTTTCCCGAACAATGTGTGCCGTACCTGCTTCAGCGAGATGACCACGCTTCTCCAGCTCGATGATTCTCATTGTTGAACCTTCGTCCAGGAGGTGCGCCTCAGCCAGTGCGATCGTTTGCTCTTCAAGTACATGGTGTGCATCGATGAGGGATACCCTCATGAATTCCATCTCGGAGTTGACATGTTGTTGATATTCTTCATGATGTTGATTTGAATAGATCTCCATGTTGTTAATCATCTGATCACGGTGTGCAAGAACATCCTGATAAAGACTTAGTCTGTTTTCCAGTTCAATCCTTGCCCGTTCGCTCCTCTCCAGCTTCTCGGTATTGTGTTGTAGTTGACGTCGGAGACGTGCCTCGCTCTCATTCCTCGAAGCGCTGGTCGATGGCTTGCGTTTGGATGAGGTGGTAGATTTACCTGCCTCATCCTCCCGCGTGGCCGCGCCCGACGGGCTTCGGCCACCGCCGTCTTCTGCAATGCGAGACCTTGCAGCGTGAGGTGATCTTGCCGATATTGCTCTTCTGGCACTTCCTCCATGAACTACGTCAGCTTGATTGACCACCGTGAAGCTGCTTGTTGATGCTATACTTCCAGCAGCACGGTAGGACATCGTGCCGCCGCCACCGCTCTCCTGAGATCCAGGCGTGTCATTGATCGCCTGGGCCGGAGCAGCATTCGCTCCGAAGGAAAAGCTTGTGTCGTTGCTGCTCGACTGGTTCTTCTGCGACATCTTCTTGTGTCAGTCCACCTCCGTTTACTCCAAGCTCACGTCTTGTAGTAGGGCAGGAGGACCAGGATGCCGAAGGGGTTGAGGATAAAGTTGTGGGACCACCGTACGCCCAGTGATGAGCGTACGGCTGATAACCTGTGAATGACCTCGACCTTGTCGATGTGCTTGTAGCTCTTACTGAATTTGATGTTGTCCCCAATGGTGAACCGCGGCAGCAAGCATGTCACTTTTCTTGGACGGGCGAGTGGCATCTTGAGCCACGAACGGCGGGGATAGCGAAGCTGTACAAATGTGCAACTGGAAGCCAACTGTGGTTTGCATTCCAATCTCATATAACATAAATAACTCAAAGATGCTCAAAGGGCATGGGCGCATGGGCATGGGCCTTAATTAGATGGTTTTCGGCGCATCCTAGCCTCTGAGATGGTCACCAATGGCCGCATCTCCATCTCTCTCTTCATCTCCTTCGTACTTCTCGGAATGGTCAAGCGCATGCCTTGCAACGGGCAAGACCTCTGCATGTCCTGTAGCAGTTGGATGCTCTTCTTCTCATTTGGAGGGATCAGAATGAAGTGCAGGCGCCAATTGGAAGCACCATCCAAGAAGGCTTCCTGGGCATGCCAAGCCAGCTCCGAAATTTCAGACAGCTCCACCTCCACGATGGAACTCTTCTTGTATGGCTTGACCTTCAACAAGGTTCCCTGCAAAGTAGAACATTCGCCAGCACGCTCCAAGCTCAGAACTGCCAAATCTCCCGGCTGGAGCCGTTGGTACTGCAAGAGCTTCACCTCAACTTGGCATTCGAAGTGCCAAGCGCCACTGGTGCGGAACCACTTCAGGTCGTTCGCCACAGCGGCTGGTGTGTACGCATCACTGGACACAGCGGAAGCATGGACCTCGAAGCTCACAACGGGATGGCTGCAGAGACAAAAAAAGGCATTTGTCTAGAGAGGAAAGCTTACATAAATGGGCTGGTAGAAGGGAAAATCTACAGATTTTCGCTTCATCCAATTCTGCGATCAAATCTTTCTGCATCTTGGCGTTGGTATGGATGCAACTACCATTTGTCCGAAAGGTATGCAGCATCCAGCATAAATCGGTGCATGTTTGGTTCACTGGACCCACCCCACCTGGCCCAACGTGATCCGGGACCACACCTGCGATTGCATCGAGACTTGTCAAGACCCACCATACCAACCATATCCAACCATGGCCCAGAATGACATGAAGAGCTTCATCAAATTGCTCAGAACATCCGAAATTGGAAGAAAAAGGTACAAATCATTCAAATCATACAAAATCCACCCCCACCGCCCCCACCTGTGAGTAGGTCTCCACTTTCCGGTCCAGCAAATGCCAATCACTGAGGTCCGGCCATGAAGAGAAGGATTCCGGAAACCTCTTGATGCCCGTGGGAAAGATGAAGTCCTCCAATACCACAAAAGTACACAAGCCCCTCAGAGAATCAGATGGGAATTATCCGGAAACGGTACGTATAAGTTGATGGGAGACAATGACTCCATAAAAAAGTTGCTAGTTGTAAATGCGTCTGATAGTGCTTTTTGCAGAAAGGTACAAGGCATGGTGCTCAATGTCTGACATCTAAACATAAACACAATGCGTTGTGATGGCCGTGGCAGTCCTTCTCCCCATGAAATTTGATTTCCCAAACCACAATCGAGTTGGGGCTGGCGTGGTGCGGGATGGGCTGGGCGTAGTTGCGAGCGATCACACAGGTCATTCGCTGGGCAAACCACGAGTGTATCCGCAAGGTCTCCACATCGTCCCTGCACGGACAAAAAGATCGGGAACACTTCAACTAGCCACTTTATGTGGAGAACAAGGCGGTGATTCTACCCCAAAAGCCATCCTCACAATTCACTTCTGGTTTGGACGCTCCCAGTCTGGACCCTGGAGACCCAGCGCGGAACCCGCCTCTCGTTTTTCATGGTGAGTTTGATCGACTGGCTGGTGGCATCGTACTCTGAGACACAGCTGGAGCTGCACAATGAGCTTGCTGGCACTTGTAGTTCCTCGGGGCTCAAATATCATTGGATCTAAATCTTAAATCATAGGTTTGGACTCGTTTGGACGGAACTTTATCAAATAGTCATGCAGATAAGACTCCAAAGTGTGAGCCTTCTGGGAAGGAACCAAGATGTTGATGTACTTGGGGCCAACTGCTCCAATCACAGCATCCGAAATCTGCTGGCCGCTGCCAGACAGCTCTCGCATCCTGAGTGTAAAGGTGCTTTCGAAAGTATCCATCCGAACTTTCATGTGCTATCTTATCTATTGATGCATCCAAAAAGGAGAATCAAAAAGCGGAACTGCGGTACTTGATGGTGTAATTGGGATTTGGCTATCTATCTTCAAGTCTCAGTCCAGGCTTGGGAAGCCCTGTGTGAGTTTCTGCTATGTCTTTTTGTCCCAAAGAAATGCCAGTGAACGTATTGAGCCTTCTCGTGTGTCCTTTGCTTCAATTCGGGATCGCAATTCTTCTTGGTGCTTGGTTTTGGGTCCGTAAATCGTGCACACTGCATCCATGCGCCAAACCCAAGAAAACACGTGCTTTCACTCACGAGAGCCATGTTGAATACTCAGAAATGGAAACAGAAGCAGCTAAGGCTAGGGAGCTGCCACTGATCAGGACAGAAATTCATCAGCCGAGAATCCTGGATATGGTCCGAAAGATGTGCTGCCCGAAGCTTTCCGCAGCCATCCTGCAGTTGGTCCGAGCGACAGCCTCCTCCAAGTCCCTCCGAGAGAGCAGCAGGTGAGGATGCGAAGCTGTCCATCCAAGCTGACACTTCAAAGCTCTCATGCCCAAAATGTCGATGTAGCGATGCAACGGAGATGTAACCTCAGTCGCGCTGTGCTTCCTGAAATATCAATCCCCCGAAGCAATTTCATTCAGAGCCAGCTTCAAAGTCCAATGGAATCCACAGATTTTGGATGAAAAGGTGTGAATCCTAAGCTTCCTGACCCCAAACTCAGGGTCCAACATGAAATTGAGGCTCCGGATGCCACCAATTGCTAGTTTTCCTGGAATCTTCGCTGGATGCTGGGGCGACCTCGTAGTAAGCAGCGGGAAGTGCAGCATGCAGTCGCCGAATGAAGGAACAGCTGCAGGCATGCTTCTGCGCATGCGTGAGCCCGGGTTGCTCCACAATATCTCCCAGCGTTCGCACCACATCCTGACAAAAGGGGCACGTTGGTGAGTAAAGGTTTTGGAGCAACAAACAAGGCTTTGTCACTTTGTCCAGGAAAATTGGCAATCATAAACTTCCACTTGCGCCAAGCGTCGGCTAGGCAAATCTCCTTGTCTCGGTCACTGTGATTCACACGAAGCAGGCGCTCAACGACCTTCCGCGTGCTGGGATCAGCCTGGCCCTGGATGTACCTCACGGTGAGTTCGGCATCTTCCTCGTCGTCCAACAGCTGGTTCCAGGCAGCGGCAGTCAAAATCGCTCCAACATAGCGATCCACAAGGCACCTGCAGCCCTGCAAGAGCCGCAGCGTTGCCAAGAGCGGGCCTGGAATCGACAGGTCCTCAGCAATGCGGGAAAACCTGGATCAAAGCTGCGGTTTGGGAAGGGCATGATCCTAAGCATGTGTCCTTTTCAAGACCATGAAACTACAGAAAACTAGTATCTTAGAATGTATTGGCAGATTTTTTCCGTACGCTGACAGTGCCAGCGCCATGGAGGTTGAGTGTCCAGAACAACTTCTAGATCCTTTCTCACTGCTAGTCCTTCCAAAACAAGGGGGGACTTTGTTGATTGTCAACTCACTCCCACACGCAAGACCCAAAAAGACCTGAAAAACATCAGCGAACGCACTCACAATAAAACAAAGAACCTTCACTTTGGAAAAGGTTACGTTCAGCCTTTCCACACCAGAAACCAAAATTCATTCGGCAATCACTACTGTGGACATTAACCTACAACTTGGCGAAACTGTTCTTTGAACAGCCTAGATTTTTGAACAACCTCAAACCAGGCCACCAGAGCTGGTCTGCAACACCAGAGCATTCTCAGTTAATCAAAGGCAAGCAGCGAACAACAGATGTTCCAAGGCAGATCCATTTCCTTTTGCGAGGTCGGCTCTCCGAAAGTCCTCGATGTGGGCATGTAAGCTTCGGAGCACTTGACCAACTTCACCTCCCTTGTCAGATAGGATCATGTCTCCAGCCTTCGTTCCGTTGCGCACTGGTGGGGAGGCTGCTGAATGAGCAAATCTTGTCAAGGATGATGAAATTCCGTCTCTGCGATTGCTGGATGGAATTCACTCGCAGATCTTGTGTTGACCAAGACATGCAATCAAGGTGAATCCATGGAAGCATTTTTTTTCGTTTGATACTCATTACTTATGCCGTTCTTGTGAGGCTGCGTGGCCCGTCGAATCCCTCTTACCCGTACACCACGTCGCTTGCCCCACCCTGGCCTCTTGAGGGCTCAAAATGTGGTCGCACTGCACAGTGGTCTCGCGCACACCAGAGATTTCGAGCTGAGGCACCTGAATACTCAGCCCCAGTGGCCCCAGTGGCAAAACAGGCCCTTTTGCAACAAATGCAGAAGATTGCTGTCTGCATACCCACACAAAAATCATCAAAAATCACCATCAGAAAACCCAACCTTGATCGTGAAGGTCACTGCAGGCCTTTCCACGCCCGGCTTGAACGTGAGCTCTTCCTGCCATGGTGCGTTTGGTCTGCAGCCATCCAAAGCATTCCAAGCCACCGCTATATGTTCTTGTCCAGTCAAGCGCTATGATCTCGATTCTGTGTTCGGTAAAAAGTAGTTGTCCATCTGATATGCACCAAATCTGTAAAAGGCGTTCGTCAAGTTCAAATCCGTACTCTCTGCCTACGTCCTGGCCTCGACGTTGGGCGGGAACAGTGGCAAGTTGGCCTCCAAGGGGTTGTCGAGATGATCCAGAAACCATGCTCCGACCGACCGTTGCCGTAGCAAGTTTTCCACCTTCTCCATCCCCAGAGCATCCAGGTATGCCTGATCGGTCACAGTCTGAGAGAGTCTAAAGAGGTGGGACAAGAGTGAATCCTACAAATAGGTCAAATAAATCATGAGAACTTATCAACAAATCGAAGGCAGGTTGCATTCACATCGAGCACGTGCACGTGGAACTCGCTTTGGTCGCAGGACATCACCATGCCAATAGGTAGATCTGGATGTTGAATGCCCACAGTCAAACCGCTGCCTTCGACACTGCTTCTCCTGCGCAATGGCTCGGAAGTGAGGCATGCTCCACCTACTTAACGACAAGAAACCAAACTTGACAACCCTGGGCCTAGTACCAGTAAATATACATCCTCTAAGATACTTTGAAACATTTGAATATTCTGAATAGTTTTTGAATCGACCAGATCGGATGGCGGCTTGCTGCCCACGGAAGGGAAAAGGCTCAAAGTACCCACCTACCCACCTCTCCTTGGCGGCTTCGGAAAATCTACTGGGAGCTTACTTCTTGGATTGCCCCGCGGCCAGTCACTGAAATTCAAGGAGATCCTCAGCTTACAAGGCTTACAACCAGGATGCAAGAGGAAGACAACCAGGTGAGGTCCTACATGCAAAAAGCCTGTCACCGAGTGGTTTCCCGCCAAAACGGCGGACCTGTTTCTGTGTTGCGGGAATTCTGTCCGTTACAAGTTACAACTGTAAATTCAGTAGCTGCAGTGTCTACAAGTCCAGCTACTGTGCTTCAAATTTTGGCACAACAACAATCTTTAAACACAAAATCAAAGTTCGAACATATTTTCATTTGATTGTTTGGGGCTGAGGAAAGATGAGGACAGTATATAAAATGAAACCAAACGGGCAAAGGTCTGGACTGCCTCCAGGATGGATGTGTCTGTCTCCCGTGAACTCATCTTCAAGGCCTTCAAGTACTGTCCCCTGGGGGGGCGATCGCCTTGCCAATCGAGCACCTCTACCTTGAGACAGAAGCACCGGCCATGTGTGACATCAAATCGTGTTGAAGGGGTCGGCAAAAACATTCAAGTGTACTTCAAGCTGCAGTCCAGACTCAGACCCACGAAAACTCTTTCTTCCATTTCCATCATCATTTTCATATGACTATAATTATCCTATTCAGCTACATGACCCCAAACAAAAATGCACCTGCGCGTATTACTTGGTCTATCGCATAGGTTCAAGAAGGCGCGACAAGTAGTGGCCACTACCGCCATCCACTGCCCTTCTATTTTCTGTACATCCGAGCTGCGACATGCAAATCATGGCCACTTGGTAGTTTGGAAGCTGTGTTCCACGGGACTTGGATGGCCGGCAGTTTGCCGTTGATCGGCTTAAATGCCACCTTAGGCTAGCTCAAGGATGTAGGAAACCCAAATCTGTAGCAGTGACTTTACCATGTATGTGATATATATGAAGCACGGAAACTGATTCATTCAGTCCAAGTCGCACTTTTTGGATTGCGTACCACTTTAGGCTTCACACACACGAAGAGCTTCTGCCTGGGAACTCCGAATTCCATCGCGTGGACGACCCTACCAAAGAGTTCCATCCTGGCACTTCAGAGGCTGGGATACTTGCCACACCACCGAGCACAAAAACTTTGGGATTGATGGAGAAGACCCCAAGCTTTTAACTGGAGACCTCCTTTTACAGTATTTCTACAGACCAGTCAGAACGGTGAAAGAAATTACAGTTGTTCCATGTTTGGTCTTCAAGAAAGTGAGCATTTGGGGGAGGAGCAATCTATCCAGAAATGTTTTTTGTGGCTAAAGACTCGTTTGTTATTGACTAGACTAGCAATTTTCAAACTACAAGTTTGTGGTGGGATGAACTAGAATACAGCATTCCATCTAAACTTGCTGGCTTTCAACCAGACCAACAAAAGTGCAGAAACGGCAAGCGGTCGGCAGTCCTTTCCATATCCATCACATTCCCATCAGATGCTTGGTGGCCAGCCCCCCAGTCACGCGCCTTGGCTCTGCGTATCCAAAGAAACCCAAGGGCAACGTAGCCTCTCAATACACTGCAACCTTCAAACATCTTCAAACCATCATCCTGAGATTCGGCTAAAGACTCAACTAAGGTTGGGGCATACAAGATTCGAACATAACACGTGTCGTGGTCATATGTGGGACCCCGCGTTTTATCACCCCAAATCATGATCTTGCAGCCATGTAGTGCTCGAGGGCCGCGATGCACAATCACCTCTCCAGAACCTAACAGTGCCGCTATGGGTTAGGATGAGACCATTAAAAAATTAACTGCCACTACCTGTTTCATATTCTTAAAACGATGACGGATCGTCCGGAAGAGCGGATGCTTGTGTATCATATCATTCACGTGAAATTCAGATGGAATGGGTTTCATTTGTCTACGACGTATTGTCCTTTACGAGATTGGCTATTCGTTGTTTCAGTCTCAACTGACTCATCATCCAAGATCAGCAAAAAGGATCCTCTGAAAATAGTTACATTAGACGCCAGGCCACGTTTCGATGCCTCCTTGCCACCTGTGGATCGAAAAGTTCCAAAGACCAGCAGCCCTGGGAGCTGCCGCAGGGAGTCCAAGGTGGCTGGCCTTAGAAGGCTGGCAGCCTTGCCAGAGAAGATTGCGCAAAATGTATCCAAACCCCGCAATCTTCGCATGGAAAACTTCTGCAGAATGGCATGACTGCCCACAATCGAAACCATGCTGGCATGATAGCAAACAAAACAGACTAAATGCCATCATCTGAAGCAAGAGTCTGTCTCGCCATGCGCTCTTCCCAGTCGTTGGGCCCAGCAGCACAAGACGACTCTATGAAATTTGATGGTGGGATCGACCGCTCTGAATACGCATCAGAGTCACTGTCACTCTCCTCTTCACGTGGGCCAACCGCTCCATCCGACTGGGGCGAATGAGCCCCATCACAGGCATCAGCATCTGAGTCATGTTCGTACCACGGCAAGGCAAGTGTGGACAACCCATCTTGTGGGATACCAGTGCCACTAGGCTCTTCACTAGAGGGCTGAGAAGCAGTTGCATCCTGCCCTTTGGTTCCCCATCTCAATGTTGCAGCAAGCCCTTCCTGACTTTCAGACTCTCCCTTTGCCTGCTCATTCGGTAGTGTAGGCTCGAGAAAGTTCAGCAAGTTGCTCCGAATCCTGTCTGCACCAACCCATTCATCATGAGTTGCTGTGCGGCCATTGTAGCGCACATGCACAGGAGCTCGGGCTCTGTCTTTCTCTTCCGACACTTGCAGCACCGTACAATAGAGAGACTTGTTACAACTGACAGCTTCCACCGTCATGGCCATGCCTTGTTTGATCCGGGAATAGTCAGGCACCTTCAACTGGTCCACCTGAAACCAGTTTGTGTCACACTGGCCCTCCTAGCCTCTTGTAGCGTAACGCACTTTGACACCTTGAACCGGAGAAATTTCCAGAACCTGCCCAGACATAATCTTAGAGTCACTGCCCTTCACACGGACCGCCATGCCGTTTTTCAGCTCCGTTGTTTCTGCGATGGAGCCGTTTTTGCTCTGAATGCCAGGCTGAGAAGAACTTGTAGCCGATTGAGGGTCTTGCTCAACAGCCCGACATCTCAAGGCTGGGCCGGAACCGCAAGAGGCATTTCTTGTTTCATAGTGCTTGTACTTGCAACTGTTCTTCATGCCGCATTGCAAGCCGGAGATATCCTCATGCAAGTAGAGTTTCTTCCCGACGGAATGGTGCCCTTCATGCACACATGTGCCAGCCAACCATTGGCAGCAAACGAACTTCGATTCTGCACCACCAAGATCAACCCGGCACTCCTGTGTTTTGCAGACTGATCCATCAGCAGGTGCACCAAAGCAAGTTTCAGCAGCCCCTCTGGGCCCTTCAATACATCCAAAGGACTGGTCATTCATCTTTGTGGCGAGCGTAGGTTCAGCAAACTTCAGCAAGTTGCTCTGAATCCTATCTGCGCCAACCCATTCATCTTGAAACGCTGCAGGGCCATTGTACCGCACATGTACAGGAGTTCGGGCTTTGTCTTTCTGGTCTGACACTTGCAAAACAGTGCATGGGAAGAGCTTCTTGCTGTGTTTTGCAATTATCTCCATGCCTTGTTTGATCCTGGAATAGTCTGGCACTTGCAACCGGTCCAGTGGCAGCCACTCTATCTCGCATTGGCCCTCCGGGCCTCTTGTAGCGTAACGCACTTTGACACCTTGAACCGGAGAAATTTCCAGAACCTGCCCAGACATAATCTTAGAGTCACTGCCCTTCACACGGACCGCCATGCCGTTTTTCAGCTCCGTTGTTTCTGCGATGGAGCCGTTTTTGCTCTGAATGCCAGGCTGAGAAGAACTTGTAGCCGATTGAGGGTCTTGCTCAACAGCCCGACATCTCAAGGCTGGGCCGGAACCGCAAGAGGCATTTCTTGTTTCATAGTGCTTGTACTTGCAACTGTTCTTCATGCCGCATTGCAAGCCGGAGATATCCTCATGCAAGTAGAGTTTCTTCCCGACGGAATGGTGCCCTTCATGCACACATGTGCCAGCCAACCATTGGCAGCAAACGAACTTCGATTCTGCACCACAAAGATCAACCCGGCACTCCTGTGTTTTGCGGACTGATCCATCAGCAGATGCACCAAAGCAAGTTTCAGCAGCCCCTCTGGGCCCTTCAATACATCCAGAGGACTGGTCATTCATCAGCTCAGGAGGGAATGTAGGCTGATTAAATTTCAGTAACTTGCTTCCAAACCTGTCTGCGCCAACCCATTCATCATGGCTTTCGGCACGCCCCTCATAGTGCACGCGCACAGGAGCTAGGGTTCTGTCTTTCTCGTCTGATACTCGCAAGACGGTACACGCAAACTGCTTGCTGCTGTCAAGTGCACGTACACTTAACCGCATGCCTGGTTTGATCCTAGAGTAATCGGGCGCTTTCAACTGGTCTATCTGAAACCAGTCTATTGCATGTTGGCCCTCCGAGCCTCTTGTAGTGCAACGCACTTTGACACCTTGATCCGGAGAAATTTCCAGAACCTGCCCAGACATCATCTTAGAGTCACTGCTCTTCACGCAGACCGCCATGCCCTCTTTCAGTTCCGTTGTTCCTGCGATGGAGCCATCCGTTGCGTCTCTGCTTCTGCAAAATGGTGGAGCAGCACCTGCAATCATGGAAGCGCCTTGCTCTAGGCTCTGGCAGCTCATGAGAGTTGTGGAGCCTCTCTGCCCCTCCACACTTTCAGAGTGCTCATCTTTTGTCTCTTCAGTGGGTAGTGTAGGCTCAAGCAACTTCAGCCTCTTGCTTTGAAGCCTCTCCCCGCCTACCCACTCATCATCATCTGATTCCAAGCCGTGGTAGTGCACATACACAGGAGCTTGGACTCTGTCTTTCTCTTGCGACACTTGCAAGACGACACAATGGCAAAGTTTGTCGGTGGTGGTGCCTTTTACAGCTGCCTGGATGCCTGGTTTGATCCTGGAGTAGTCAGGCACCTTCAACTGGTCTATCTGAAACCAGCCCATGATTGTATCACACTTTCCCGCTGACTCTCTTGCAGTGTAGCGCACTTTGACTCCTTGAGCCCCAGCAATTTCCAGAACTTCACCGGACATCATCTTGGAGTCACTGCCCTTCACGCAGACCGCCATGCCCTCTTTTAGCTCTGCACCTCCTGTGATAGGGCTTAAGCTTTTTCGAGGAGGTCGTTTTACAATTTTTGGAAGTAAGAGCCGAATGCTGGCGCTCAAAGGTTCAATTCTACGCAAACTCAGCAAGTCTGATTTGCTAAAGCGGGTTGAGCGGACTTCTGGGCTTCTGTGGGATTCTTCCACATGCACATCAGCCACGGAATCGCACCACTCTTGGGAAGTGCGAAAAAGAGGCTTGCCCCTATGCCAAGCTTCAGAATGCCTCCCATGCAAATGCAGCCCGAGGCCATCCACCGTTGTATCCATGTTTGCGAACTGACCGGCAACCACAGGGTCCTTTGCATCGTACAAGAGGCAAGGTGCCTTCACTGTTCGATGCCGCCATGCTCCTTGAAGCATACCCAAGACAAGACCGCGGCGATGTCCTCTCACAATGTGCAGCCCACGTTTATCTACCACGACTTGCAGCGGTTCCACGTCTTCTGGACGTTGTCTTTCTCTCAACAGTTCATAAAAGAGCTCCAACACGGATGCATCCTGCAAGGCAAATGCTTGACGCGATAGCTTTCACCCACAATGGCTTTCCTGAAACATCCGAAACTAAGTTGGAATGAAAGAACCTGAAAGCAAGGATTTCTTACTTCCCACGTCCTCCTACGGATGCAAAATCAAGCATGCCTCACAGATTTGCACCGCTTGAAAGTCAGTCCATGTTTTTTGATTCGTCTTAAAGCGGCTCATTGATGGCAGGACTGCGGGGTTCGTCCTTGTGTTTTCCCGAGGTGAAGGTCATCTCGGAGTGAACCTTCCCTTGGATCGAGCGCAGGCACCAGATGGGTATCAGCACCACCTGCCCACTGCCAATTCTTTGTGGATCTGGCCTGAGGATGCGGCAAACCATTTCACAGAAAGAAAAGACACCCGCTAGCCCAAGCCTAGGCTAGTTCCCATTCATTCACCATTACCGATGGAATTGCTTATGTGCCTAAACTTAGCCGGCTTGCTTGCCTAACTTCATGCTAGAGACAGTCTTACAAAGTACTGTATTACACCATAAACTGCCCTGGAAGGAATCACAGAAAATGAACAGTCCAATGAGTCCAATGTGAGTCACAACAGCCACAAGAACTGCCTGAAGAAAAACAGGATGTCCGCGAAACAATTACAAGAGCTGGAGCCACATTCGCTGTCCAAGGTGCTGGAATGTTATGACATCTTTTGCACAGGGTATCAAAGGTGCCACCGAAGAAGATTCCGCTGATTTCCTACACTCAAGGGTCACTGGCACACGAGTTCGAGCTGCATCTGCAGCTGATGCTGGACTCTTTGAGGTCTTTAGCTTCGAGTGCTCCTTCAGAATCACACGGAGATGGACTTTCTTCACCACATCCTTCAAGTCCTGCTCGAGATCTTCCCTGTCCTGGTTTGGTAAGGAAACTTGGCGAAGGACGGTTAGCTTTACGGTATTTCCACAGTGTCCTAAGATAAGCTGTACTTGCAAACTGTTTCCTCTATACTGCTTGATTTTCGTTTAGCCAACTGTGGCTTAATACTGCGGCAAACAAGTCGCTGTTTCCATCAAGAACTTTAGATTGTACCCGAGCTCTTCGAACTCGCTGCGGTACACCTCCAAGTCTTCATCAATATTCCGCAGCCATTCGCCGATGCTTCGGTGCGGAATCGCCATCAGGTTAAAGGAGTTTGACGGTGATTGAACAGGGGCTTATTAGAAGACGACACTGGATCAAAACCAAATCAAATTGAGCTGATGGCAATCCTCTTCAGTGCGGTTTCCGTCTTTAGTATGTGAAACATCTTTTAACAAGTTTACACAGTGGGTGCGGTGTGTCTGTGTCTGTGTGAGTGTGCGTGTGGGTGTCTGTGTGAGTGTGAGTGTGAGTGTGAGTGTGCGTGTGCGTGTGAGTGTGCGTGTGCGTGTGCGTGTGCGTGTGCGTGTGCGTGTGCGTGTGCGTGTGCGTGTGCGTGTGCGTGTGCGTGTGCGTGTGCGTGTGTGGGTGTGTGGGTGTGTGGGTGTGTGGGTGTGTGGGTGTGTGGGTGTGTGGGTGTGTGGGTGTGTGGGTGTGTGGGTGTGTGGGTGTGTGGGTGTGTGGGTGTGTGGGTGTGTGGGTGTGTGGGTGTGTGGGTGTGTGGGTGTGTGGGTGTGCGTGTGGGTGTGCGTGTGCGTGTGCGTGTGCGTGT